TGCAATGTTGTGTGAATATTGAGAATGTTGATGTGATGCTGTGCTTAGTTAGTTAAATTGTTGTAATATGTCTGATTTGAATATCTCACTATAAGTTGAATTGATGTGTAAAAGCTATGTTGTGATATTGCTGAATGTGTAGATTATTGGCAATCCAATCTAGTTTTACTTTGTGTGTTAAAGATGGCTAGACCTAGAAGATCTACTGCAAACCCTCCTCCTACGGATGTGAATCAAATGGCTTACGCTATGAAGGCTATGGCGACTATAGTGAGGCAAAGTCTAAAAATGATACAGCAGCAACATGCTACAAATCAAGCCGCTGCTACTATAACATCCTAAAATAAAAAATTCATACAATGTATATTTTATTCTTAATCATTTGAAATAAAACATTAGTTTCTGAATATAATGAATTCATTATATCAAATTAGTAAAATTTACTTTTGAGTTTTGGTATGTAGATGAGAATTTCAAAGTTTGCAGTATTAATATAATAACAATAATAAATACAGTAAAGAGTAAATGAATATCATAACTAAAACTTATTATTTTTCATGGGAAAATTGAATATATTACATACATCAATATAAAATTACAAACTGTTTGTCAAAATATATGGGACTTAAAATAATATTTACATAACCATAATATTTACATCACATAAACAAATATAAGTCTCAGAACAGTTTCCCAATAACCAAATACTGAAAACCAGTCCTATTCATCACCAACATCCCAACTCTATCTCGACTAAGTCTTTCGAATCCAGATCCTCGTCTGATCCCAGGTAGTGATTGCCTAAATTAGCTGTGACATTTGTGCCAATGACGCGCTTAAAAGTCCATCTGGATAGTCTTCTTATATGGTCATGATCGTGATAGGTGAATAGATAGGTGGGGGCTGCTAGAGTCCTAACCGTACCTCTATACATATACATAGGGTCTGATTTATTCTACTCCTAGGAAAATCAAACGAGATACTACAAAAGAAATTCATTTTTAACATAACAAAAGTCCTAGGTTCATTTTCCACAAGAATAGCAATTTTAAAATAACATAGTCTCTGATATTTATTAAATACAAAATTAAGCTTATTATGTATTGATCTACCTATTAATCTAACTCTTTCCTGAGGCTCTGTCATCCTGACTTCCTGAAAATTTTAGTAAGGATGAGCATCTATTCTATTTTTTTACTAGTCGCTGTCTAAGTTAGCGCTCCAAAAATTTATTTCTAGTGTAGTGGGTGGTACGTGAGCAGATGTAGCAGATGTTGCATCTACTTTACAGGCTGAGAGGTCGTTGGAGAAATGTTAGAAGTTGGAGTTGAGTAATTTTGTATTAAAATCTTTTTTCCTTATATTTCGAGACCTCATATAGAAAGAGTGATGTAGTAAAAAAATTTTGTATTTTGAGTATTGTGAACTAAATGTAATATTATGTTGTTCTGTTGGATATCTGTCATAATAAATTCTTTTTATTTTGAATAAAAGTAAATTTTATACTTATATTCTTCATTATTTATTTATCTCAAATAAATAAATAGTGTAGAAATAATGTTCTCGATTTCTTAAAAAAAAAAAGGTCATGGCATAGAAAAATTAAACCTATAATAGAAGTCGATTTAAATAGACTTTTGTGTAAAAAACTTTAAAACAAAAACAAAAGTCAATTTAAATTCACTTTTATTATATGTACTTTTAAGATATTTGCATAAATTTTTTCTTTTTATGACATTTAGGAAATAATAATTTTTTTAATTTATTTATAAAAAAAAGCCTTTCATAATTTGTACTTACAATTAGTTAATTAACTCCAACACTAAAACATAAAATAAAAACTAAAAAAATAAAAATACCTAAAAAAATTATCTCTTTCTTTGCACTTTTCATGAAAAGATTTTGAAGTGTTTCGATGCTCTATTGTTGTAAAAAAAATTATAGTGTTATTGTGTTCCACTAGTATCGGTGTTTCAGAGACAATAATTAATTTTGTTGTTAACTGTAGATAAATTACTTTTTATTATATATTTAAGTTAAGATTCATTGATACGTCAAACATAAACCTTACACTTTTTTAATAATTTAACATAAATGGTTCTTGTTTTTATATAGTTTAAAATATATATTAAGTTGATTTTCATGTAAAAAATGAGTTATTAAATAATTTTAAATTATTTTAGAATTTTGCAAACATGATATATGTGATTAAAAAATATTTTTATAAACATGAATTTAATATCGGTAGCGATCTGTAAATGGACCGCAAAATGGTTGAATAGCGACAAACAGCAGTGGTGGGACAGTTTTGAGGGCTTCTCCAATATCAATATATTCTTCGCCATTTCAAAGCAGAAGAGTTTTGCATTCCCCTTATCTATAATCAGTGTGTGAGACCCATTCTTTTTATTTTTGGTACATTTGTCTTCCACTCCACTCCATGCATGCATGCATTATGCTTTTCATACGCCACATGTCTTTCCCTACACCACAATCATTCAACTCAACCCTCAGGGACCCTTTTTTTCTTACTTTTAAAAACTATTTTCTTAATTATCAATATATTTTATAAATTATACTCAATATGTCAATTTGATTTAATCAGTCTTTCACTTTATCAAAATATTTGTACAGAAAGGGAACTGAGGCCTCTGACATGGTATTGTTTTAAGTAAAATATTAAATCAGTCCTATGATATAGTCTAAATTTTTTATCATGTATGAATAAATAATAAGAAGAATCCTTTTATATAAGTTAGAAGTTTTATTTTAAAAGAAGAGACTAAAAATTATGTATCTACAATGTACAATTAGACAGTATACAAATGTTCTCACGTTAGTAGTAGCCCCGAATCACAAGCCTGAGCCTTTAAGGCTTGGAAAAACCAGTTGAAATTTGAATAACACTGACCCAAAATAAAATAAGGTTAAATTTTTTCAACTTTACCTCGCACTTCTTTAACAGGCAAAACACGATGGTCCACTGAATGCTGTTCATTTTCCCAGCACTACTTATTGTCATGTTTTTATGGGCACACAGTAAAAAAAATTAAAATAATTGTTTAAGTTCTGTACAATAATTTTTAAAAAATATTAAATTTGCCCCTTCAAACTAAGGATAAACAGTTAATAATAATAAAATTTTATTAAATAAGTATTTATTATATTTTTTTTATGGAAGTATTTATTAACATTGTATAAAGAAATTGCAAGACAAGATAAAATTGGTTCCTATTGACCTTATGAACAAGCCTGTTTGGAATAAAGAAAAGGTTCATCCAGAAGGCAAGGTGCCATCACTTGAACATAATGGTAAGGTTTTAGTGGAAAGTATTGATTGGAACAAATATGTTGATGCAAATTTTGAAGGGCCATCATTATTTCCCCATGATTCCGTCAAGAAGGAATTTGGAGAGGAGCTAATAAAGTATGTTGATACGTTTACAAAAGATGTGTTTGATTAATTCAAAAGTATTTATTATATTTTTATAACTTCAATATAATAATTATGTATTTTATTTTTTATAAAAAAAATTTATACATAAATGCTTAAACTCAGCTTTAAGAGTTAAGGTTAATAAAATCCTTACAAAATTATTATATATTTTAAATTTCAGATAAATAGATATTATATTTAAGTAATTAACTTTTTCACTTCACTATTACATTTCACCCCATTTTATTAAAATACTAAAAGATAAAAATATTAAAAATTCAAAGTATATTTCCTTTTTATAAGCAACAAAAATAGTTTTAAAACAGATAGAGCATTATTTTTCATTTCAGATATGTGGCATTAATTTTAGCCCGGTTTATTTATAGAGGTATGCTTCTTTCAGGAAATAAAATCAGACTAGCAAACTCTAAATTAACATTCGAGAGGAAATACAAATATTATAAAATAAAAAGAAAATTATTTCCACCTCTTATCTAGTAGAAGATTTTTTAAGACACTATTTTGTTAGCACTAGTCTTTATAGCACTAATTTTAAGGATATAAAAATAGTTTAAGGGGGTGGGGGTCTCGATAATTAATATATTTTAAAAATTATAATTAGTGTTATAATAATTAATATTTTTCCAATAAAATATCAAAATATAACATATTTCTGAGAAATAAATATTTTTATTAAAATTTTTGCTAAAATACGTTAAATATTATGGCAAAAGTAAATTTAATAATTTTTAATTTAAGAATTCATAACACTGGTTAGCGTTTGTATTTCCTTTTCGAAAAGGGGTCTCCATAACACGTTTTCTTAGAAAATTTTTAATAAAAAAATTATATATTGGGAATATATTAAAAATCACATTGGGTGTGCTTTGACAGTAATTTGGTCTCACAAAAATTTATATTTTTTATTTGATCACTCATTTTTATTTTTATTTTTATTTTTAAAATAAATCCTTCATAATATATTTTCCTACTATATGTTCTTGTTATGCTTTTTGTTTCTCATTTTGTCTCTCTAAATATTTAAAAAATATTATTTAATATTTTAAACATCACATTTATTTATTTATTCATCATAATTAAATCTTATAAAATTTTCATTTAACCCTTTTAAAATGAACAAATGATAATTTTTTTTAAAAATAAAAAATAAATGACAGTATTTTATAACCACCGACAAAATAAATTAGTTAAAAAATTCTTTAAAAATAATAAAAAATAAGCAATTAAATTAGAAATTTATAAGTTTTTTGGATTAAAAAACTTAACCTAATATTTTTAATAAAAAAAATATTTTAAATTCTTCAATAATCTCATAAGAGCACTAGTTTGAACTTTTCTGATAAAAAAAATCGTCTGCAATGCAGCTAAAATTTATGGAGTGGAATGTGAAAGAATTAAATTCTACCTACTTTCATTTTCGATGAACACGACCTAAAAGTTCTTCACAATAACATAAGGGTGTTATTGTAATTGCAATAATAGAACCAGTAATATAAAACAGTTCCTCTGCCTTGAGAAGGTACTCCACATTGGCAGGTTCAAAATGGAGAACAAAAGGAAGACTTTACTATTGTTTGTTGTCATAGCTGCATTGCTATTCTGCATGCCAAAGGTAAGAGTACCAAAAACGGTTTCTTGCTATATAGTTTTAATTAATGTAAGAATTATAAATCTTTGTCCTTATTTTTTGAGGCTTTGAACTTATTTTTCAGGTGTCATATGCTGGTTCTAATGTCAAGATTCAAGCCCAAAACACCAATTCTGAGGTTGCATGCAACCTTCTTTGTGTTCTAACTTTTAGTACTAGCTTGTAGCTGTTTTCACTAGCTTTTGTTTTGCAGGTGGTAAAAGGACCCCATAGAAGGCTTTTGACATTTGTGGGTATGACTTCTATTTACGTTTCTCTCTTCACTTTGACATTTTCTCCTTTTTCTTCTAAACTAAGTTTTTTGTGCTTCAACATATAGATCCACTTACAAGGAAATACTACTTATATTAAAGAAGAAACTTACAAGAAAATACATATATTAAAAAAAAAAAGAAGAAGGAAGTATTTGTACTAGATGTTGAACATGTATTCATTCATGTGGAGTGTTTCATATATAAACACGTGAGCATCAAAACACGAAAAAAGAATCTTATCGTTTTGTGAACGTTTATTTTCTATTTTTATCAGTAATTTACAATTTGTTATTTCTATTTTTTTTAAACTTCTACCCCATTCCATATGATAATATTTTAACAATTAAATAAATAACATTATTTTATTATAATTATGATGACTTAAATATATTTTTCCTTTTGATTTAATATTGTATTTTTATATTAATTTATATATTACATTAGAATTTAATTAAAACTCATTATATTAAACTTTTTTTATTTTGTTGGATTTCATTAACGCCCATTGGTTTAAAATGATTAGGAATTTGAATCTCTTTCATGTCTCGGATCTTGTGAACGAAGAAAATAAGTAATGAGTTTGTTATTTGAAAGGTCTATTTGATTTTCTGTTTATAACTTTCCTCACAGAAATTGTTGGTTTTTCATTTTGGGAAAAATATGTTCAAATGCATTGGAATTGATGAAACTGAGAAAGGCCAAAGTAATAAAACACCAGTTGTGTATAGATTCATTCATTGCACTCAATTTAAATGAGCTAGCATTCAGTGTGGCTCTTAAAACATAGTTAAAAAGAAACATTATATTGCATCTCCATATCAATAAGGTAACGTATATGTGTGTCTTGAATCGTATTCACTTTAAATATTCTAGTCAACTTAGATATTAATATACAAAGTTTTCAAGGGATCAATTTCATATATGTTTCGTTTTTCTATTTTCTTGTAAAAAATAATTGTTATTATTGTAAAAGTGAATTGCTCTAATGAATGAATGAAACGTTGTTTATGGTGAAGACTGTGGAGCAAAGTGCAAGGTGAGGTGCAGTTTGCACTCAAGGCCAAAGATTTGCACGAGAGCATGCGGAACATGTTGTTTAAGGTGCAATTGTGTTCCTCCAGGCACTTACGGGAACAGAGAAATGTGTGGCAAGTGTTACACTGACATGATTACTCATGGCAACAAGCCCAAGTGCCCTTGAGACCTATTTTATATCCATATATGTTCATCTACGTAACAGCAATTAAAATTCCCTTCTGCTTATCTATCTATGCATTATGAATCTGATACAATATTGTAATGTAATAGTCTTCATCAGCCTGTGTACCTGTTCTGTGAGTTAATTATTACCTATGATGCATCATTTGTGTGATAAACTTGTAGCAAATATAATTAAGTGTGGATTTTTCTTACGTGTTTGTGGATCAAATGAAATCATGCGCTTCTGTGTGATATTAGATTTGTGATTGTTTTAAGTTAGAGTATTGTTGTGAATGTATTTAGAATATATACTGATTTAGGAAACAAAATATAAGATTTAAAGATAGTTTTGGTGTTAAAATTACATTATTTTTTAATATTAGTCTTTGTTTAAATTGCATATTTGCTTTTAATTTTTGAAGTTATAAAAATAATGAACATTTAGTCTGTTGGTGATTGATCAAATTAAAAAAATTTATCATTTTCAGTACATAAAAAAATCAACTAAAATAAAAAGTAGTGAAAAAAAATTTAAAAAAAATCAAAATCATTTATTATCTATCATTTCAAGTGAGGCAAATATAGTGTAGGTATCAATCAATAAAACAATTTAAAAAGTATTTAATAAAAAGAAACATTGATGATTTTAAAAATTATGTAATGTGTATTTTTAAGTAATTGAAATATTTAATAAGTATATTTAATATTTTATAATCAATGTTCTTAAAATATTAGTTAATAATATATTTTAAATAATTACTAGCATTTATAAAATATAATTTTCGGTTTTCTGTGTATCGTTGTTTAACAAAATTTGTTTTTATTTGTCTATTATTTTAAAAAATTTAAGATAACATTAATTATAATATTTTCTATTAATCTTTATTAGAAAAGATAGAGAATTACTATTTGAAATGTCTGGATAATCAATTCTTTTGATCCATTTTATAATGTTACTATTCTTTTTTAATAGACCCCTTTTAAATTATCTATTACATCTATTATTATTATTATTATTATTATTATTATTATTATTATTATTATTATTATTAAATGCGATAAATTGATTTTTTCGACTTTCTCTCATGAGGATAGGAGATGTTAAGAATAATTTTAAAACAATTTTGTAATTTTTAATTTTAAGGTTAATTTTAAATATTTAAATGTACTAATTTTATATTAAAAATTATTATGTTAGAAATATAAAAGTAAAATTTTATTATTATTAGTTATGTTGTAAAAGATGAGTTTAACATTTTTATTTAAATATATTATATAACTTATTGAAAAACTTAATATCATTAACTAAATTCTTCAATTTTTGTGAAGTATTTTTTTCTGCTCTTAAGCTCTTTTTTAAAAAATTTGTCATGATTATTTTTATAAGATCCCTTTTAAGTTATATCTTACATTAACTATTTTTTAAAATTGATGTAAAATAGTTAAAACAATCTTATATTTAAGAATATATATATATATATATATATATATATATACATATATATAATATGATTTTTTTAAATTTAATATACTCTAAAATAATTTGTTAATTTAATTATTAAATAATTTAAATTTATTTTATATTTTCTTAGTAATCAAAATTTTAAAGAACTATTATGAGATATGATGATAATATTAAATATTATATTTTAAAATTTAATTTTTTGTATGTCTTGTCAACAAGTATTAAGTAATCTTAGAAATAAAAAAATATTAAAAATCATAGTAATGCATTAATAATAATTTAAAAAATGGAAAATATTACTCTTTTTTAAAAAATATATTTTTGATTTCATTATATTAATTATATTGATTCACAGAGTTAATATAAACAAGAGAGATAAAGGACATATTAAAAATATTATAAATAAATTTAATATAAAAATCTAATTATTCTTTAATTTATATACTAAAATCTTAAATGGCAAACTGAAGGAATGTGAAATAAATTCTTGGTAAGGAGTTTTCTCTATGGATATTAGTTAATGATATTCATATATTTTACTAAATAATTAAAATTGATTAAAAATATTAATTAAATATTTAATTTTAATATAAAATTAATTTTTCAATAGTTTTTATTTCTCTAACTAATATATTTTAGATATTGGTCTAACTTGGTATTTTACGTAACTAATATAATATTTTCATGTACTATACTTCTACTAATCATTTTAACATTTTATAAAAAAATAAAAATTATAAAAAATTAATTTAATATATAAAATATTATTATTTGTCAATTATAAAATATTTTTTAGTTTGTATATCAAATATATAATATTTTTTATTAATAAATAATATAAATTAAAAAATTATTTATATTTCATAAATTGATATTGTATTTACATAATATTACATGATTAAATTACTAATTTATATAAAATAAATTTAATAATTAAAGTATTTAGAAATAAAATCTTAATTTTTATAATTAAGATAAACAAGATAATAATAATTTCTTATAAATACAAGTGGAAATAATCTGTTTCCTTTATTTTAAGGAACAGCCACAAGTGATTTTAGTTTGTCAAAATGCATAGAAATGTTCACTCGCCAGTTATCAACATTTAATGCTTTTTATGTATTTATTATTAAATGAGGGATCAATACTCGACAGCATTGGCAGCATCACAACACCTATTTCCAAGGACATTAAAGAAAATTAATTTTTTAATAAATGCGTCATTTTTTGTCACTCATTTAATCAAACACCTTTTCAAGGAAGTTTTAATTGATGTGTGAAAAATGAACATGTCTTGTTACATTCTCCCTAGAAACTAATAGACTTTAAACTCCCTAAAAATAACACTACTCCTTTCAGTTTTCTCTTTTTAAACAAAATTATTTTTTAATTATAAAAATATATACCTATTTTTTAATATATTTATTATTAATTTGTTATATTTATATTTGTTGAAAATATTATATTAATAAAATACTTGTTCATCATTTCTATAAAAAATATCCAGTCATTTAATATATAAATTTATTTTTTCTAAAATTTATATAACATTGCACATAATAAAAAAAATTAATATTATATATAATTTTTTTTTATCATCGTAAGGTTGTATGTTAAAAAATAATATATAAATTATCAATTTTGTTATCGAATATTATATTTTGAAATATATAATATAAATGTATAATGTATATTTACATTTTATCTGACTTGATAAATTAATTATTCAAAAATTTAGTCTTTAAATTTGAATTTAGACATTTAAAAACAGTAATATTTTATTAAAAAATGATTTATTACACTTTTGTATTTATAATTTAATAAATACTTCTTAATAAAATTTTGTTATTTTTATGTACACAAATTTAATTTTGAAGTTAACAAAATTTTAATACTTATTTTTATAAAAAATTATAAAAAATCTTTATTTTTAAATTTGATACATGTGTTATGTGTATTCGCTTTTTGTTTTATTTAGTTAGTAGCCGACCTATGTAATACAGATATATTTTATTTTTAAATCATGATATAATTTAATAATCAATTTATATATATATATAATAAAATTACTTCACGTGTTAATTTTTAAAAACTTATTTAAATCAAATATAAACTATAAATACTATGTATAAAACGATAACTATTTAATAAAATTATGATAATTTTAAAATATAATTTATTTTAAAATAATAAAAATAATTTATTATGTATTATAAATTTATATGTAAATAAAAATATTGATATAAATTTTATATAATATAATAAATATTTTTATAAACATAAATATAGAAATTCATAAAAATTTATATAAAAAGAGAAAAATTAACTAACTATTTTTATTTTTAAAATTAGAATAAAAAAAAATTATATATTAGACTATTTTAACATCAAAAAGTAAACATAATAAACTATGAAAGAGTTACACTAGAACGTATTTAGTTAATAAAAGAGTATTAAAACTGAAAAGACTCCATGGCCCAATGGATAAGGCGCTGGTCTACGGAACCAGAGATTCTGGGTTCGATCCCCAGTGGAGTCGGTTTTACTACTACAACGTTCTCATCTCTCAGCCTCAGAGTGCAGTAAGGGAACCTAAGCCATATTTTTCAAGAAGCTTGAAATGGAGGGCGAGGAGAAAACCTTGGGTTTTTTTTAACAAGCTGGCTCTTGTTTATTGAATTCTTCTATTATTAAAAAATATAATATATAAATTATTTATCAAATATTATTTATATTTTGAAATTTGAAATATATAATATAAATGTATAATGTATATTTACATTTTATTTGACATGATAAATTAATTATTAAAACATTTAGTCTTTAAATTTGAATTTTAGCTTTTAAAAATAGTAATATTTTATTAAAAAATATTTATTACACTTTCGTAATTATAATTTAATAAATAATTTGTAAAAAAAATTATTTTTTTTATGTACACAAATTTAATGTTAAATTTTAAAGTTAAAAAAATTTTAATACTCCATATTTATTTTTAAATTTGATATACGTGTATTTGCTTTTTACACATATATTTTATTTTTAGATCAATGTATAATTTAATAATATATATATGTGTAATAAAATTACTTGAAATATTAATTTTAAAAAAACATTTAAATCAATTCTAAACTATAAATACTATGTGTAAAACGATACCAATTTAATAAAATTATAATAACTTTAAAATATAATTTATTTTAAAATAATAAAAATAATTTATTAAGTATTATAAATTTATATGTAAATAAAAATATTGATAAGAAATTTAAAATTTTATATAATATAATAAATATTTTTATAAATATAAACATAGAAATTCATAAAAATTTATATAAAAAGGAGAAAAATTAACTAATTACTTTTATTCTTAAAATTTAAATAAAAAATATTCTACGTAGCATAATATATATAAGTGAGTAAAGATTGATCCTTTATGTTTTTCATGCTTTATTATGTTGTTGGAATTTCAGACGATAATTGTTGATCATTCTCGTTGCAGAAAGTCACTGTTTTTCATTTTCTAATTATTATTA